TTTAACCTTTCTGTGTTTCATGTTCTACACCTGTAAGGATGTTATGAGAATTAAATGTGATAGAACTTGCATGTGCCCTGAAGAGTGACCTATCGTGAAAATGCTGAAAACATGAAGTGCTATACTCACTATGCAAAGATGCTATGCTTGGGCTTTTTATTCTAATGCCAATCCTAAAACTCGATCATCTTAAATCCTGAAAGAAATCAAAAAACAATTTGGGCTAAAGTCATCATTTTACAGGTGAGGATGCTGAGAGAAGATCAGTACATGTCCAAAGTCACACAGGAGGTCCCAGTGGCAGGATGGAGCTAGACTCGGAGGCATTTGATCCCATCCAGCTGCTCTGTGACTGCAGATGGGAAAGCAGAGCATTAGGCCCGTGACCATGACCCAGAGGAGAGTAATTCTCCCTCCCCAGTGAGAGGGCCATTCTCTGCAGGCCGCCTTCTGCTGGATCTATAAACTGGCCTAGGAAATTATGCCTCTTTTCCAGGCTTTGTTTTAGATCACCCACTCAAGCTGTAGAGAATTAAAGAAACTTGAGAAGCTCAAAGCAAGCATTTTCTTCCTAATTCATCTCGGCAGTGAAGACTCCTGTCCCTTTAAGGCACTATGCCATGGCCATAGCTCCTATTCTAACGCCACAGTGGGCAGGCATGGACACATACATGAACTTGTAAATATTTGTGCTCATGCTAAGAATTACCAACTTTTACTCATAAACACTTCAAACTGGAGTCCAATATTTGGGAGTTAATAGAATATAAGGATGTAAAAACAATCCTTTAGAATTAAAGTTTGACCTAATAATCATTTTAGAGAATTTGTCAAATTTTATAATTATGACTATCCTCACTGCAACCCCCAAACAAAAGGATTTTATAAATGCATCTGTGAGAAGCTCTGAAAGGTTTAAGCTAATTGTAGAAAAACAAAAAGCCAATTTTTTTCTAAGGATAGCAGCTATCTGGAGTGGAAACACTATGTATTCTGGGAGTAAGGGAGAAACATGTTTGGGTTCCAGCTCTGCCCACAACTATATTTTTGTGACCTTGGGCAAAACAATACCTTCTGCTTTCTCATCTGAAAACATGGAGGGAAAACCAGTGAAAGAAAGAAAAGCTTTCCTTTTGAAGGTGGATGCTATGAACTGAATTGTATCTCCCCCAAACCCCAAATTCATATGTTAAATTCTTAACACCCAATATGACTGTGTTTAGAGACATAGGCCTTTATGGAAGTAATTAAGGTTACATGAGGTCATAAGGATGGAGCTCTGATCCAATAGGATTTATGTCTTTATAAGAGACGACTTGAGAGAGCTTGTTCTCTGTCTGATGCTTGAGGATACATCGAGAGAGATGTCTGCAGTCCAGGAAGAGAGCCCTCACTGCCAGATCTTGATGTTAGACTTCTAGCCTCCAGAACTGGGAGAAAAGAAATTTCTGTTGTTCAGTCCACCCAGCTTTTGGTATTTTGTATTAGCCTCCTGAGCTGACTAAAACAGTGAAATTAGAGCCATCTCTGTGTTTCCTGAGATAAAGAACTGTCGGGATCATATATACTCAGTGCTGTGACTTCCCACTAACAAGGTGACTCCAGATTGAATGCTCTTTGCCTTTGTTTTAGACTATTACAGAGTTGGGGAAAGGAAGGCCAATGTTGGGAAAATACCCATGTACAAACTTTAGATAGAAACTTTATAGATATATGTTAAAAGTGAGTGTGTGTGTGAATGTATACATGTAATATCTGTGTGATAAATATACTTGGTGGTTAAAAGCAGGGCTTTTGGAACATGGTTGTCCCAGTTTGAATCGTGGCCTTGCTACTTGCTAGCTGTGCGTTTATAGGCAAGTCGCTTAACCTCTCTAAGCATCAGCTTCATCATTGCTGAAACAGAGACAGCGATAGGATCTCTATAACGGTATTGTTATGAGGATTTGAGCCCATAGATGTAAAGCTCCGTAATAGTGAGTGATAGTAAGAGCTTCAAAAGGGTTCATTTTAACATTATACATGCCCATCCAGACACAAACAAATTGACAGGGTTTTAACCAAAATATGGAAAAGAAAGAAACAAAACTAAACTAAAGCAGAGCGTTTCTATACCCTTTGCATCTGCTCCACATAGCTCGTACAATTTCCCTGCCCTAAGTGACCCTCCAAAAAAAATTAAACAGGTTAATCTTTAAGATCTCATAATTACTTTGGCCACAGATGCCTGGAAGAGACCAAAAAAATAAATAAATAATTAAGACATGGAACAAGAGATAAGGGGTTACAAAAAGGGGGAATTATAGAGTAGCTTGAGATTAGAGGGTTTAGCAAATAAATGCTAGATAGAACCAATTTACAATTACAGAAAGGGGGAAAGAATTCCAAGTGACGGCTGTAATTTTAATACGACTACTACCATCATTGAGAAGAAACTATTTCTCCCAAATCCACAACTGATTAACAAATAACTGACTTTTTCTTTTCACATTAATGTTCTTCAGGGTGGATTTTCAAATACAAGAAAAAATTATTGTGACAAGTGGCTACAAAGATACTTTTTAAAAATCGTCCAAACATTTCTCATTTTTTCTCATAGAAGACCAAGTCTATTTAGAGTTCATTCTTGCAGAGTTAACTTTGACCCAGGGTGCTAAATTTTTTTTCTCAGAGGGACTTTTCTCTCGACAGAAATTTGGCACCTGTCATGAATGCATCGAAAAGTGGGACCATTTTGCTGTGGGAGGGGGCAAACTGGTCCAACAGTGAGCATGATAAAGCATAGGCGACTGATTTGCTATGTGCTGAGAGTGGAAACATTCAAGACAGTTTTTTCCTACTGTTTTCATCAGTCTTAGAGGGATCTTCACTCTGGGTTACTTTTCATGCCCTTGGTCATCAATCCAGAAGACTGATTTTATTTAGAAATAGCTTTTAATGACCAGTAAATTTTATATGCCTTCTTTGTAAGGATGTAAAGATATTATTTATAACCACCAATCCCTCTTAATTTTACAAGTGATTTGAGTTTGATGTAAAATTTGGAACCTATCTATTTGACCAACTGTATATAAGCTGTGATTGAATCAGGTACCACACAGTATACAACATGTGACAGAACCTTTCTAAGTAATGTCAGATGAAGAAAAAGAACAACTGACCAACTATATTAACAGGCTCAGTTAACTGGGAATAATTCTTGAGAATTCCTTTGGTTCCTGATAATTGATCTGATTTCACTGTCAGCTTGAAAATCTGAGTAAAATCCTTAGAGAGTGTGTGATAGAGCAACTAGAGAATAATTTATTCTCTTTTCTTTTATAAAAAGACCAATTTACAAAATGTATTTTGGTAGCTTAAAATAATATTTAAAAAGTTAATTGAAAAAAATAACAGCAAAAACAATGAAAAGGAATTGAGAGACAGCTGGAAATCCATTTATAGAGAAGCTTGAGCACATCACCCAAGTGGCTAAAAATGTAAAATTTCATCTGGCTCAGTTACTTAAAAAAACACATATTTCCTAAATATAATTTCAAAAATTATGAGTTATATGCATGTAGAAATTTCAGATTCATTTAAGTTAAAAAAGCTATTAAGATTATTTTAATTATTTTATACACTTCTGTTAATTAACTACTCCAGCTTTGGATTTGGCTAGCACTAATATATAATTTACCTAAGTAAATATATGCTGATACTTACTCATCATTAATAGTTTTACAAATATACTATTAAGTAGATATTGATCTTAGGAAAATACTTTAAGTGGAAGCCAGCAGGTGCAGCTAGGGGATTCAGGGAAACGTTAACCCCAGGCAGGCATTTCGATGCACTGCATCATTTCTGTCGCTCCCTGTGTGAAACCCTAGCCACGTTCTCCCAAGCAGAGGCCTGGTCAAAGGGCCCAGAGACAGACCTGAACACAGGATCATTAACCAAAATACCACTCATGTACGCAACCTTCTGTTGTTAGTGAGCCTTACCAATCACATATACTTAACATTTATCAAAAGTTAAAAGTATTCTTATGGAAAAGAATGTTTTCCCCCAATCTACAACATGGGGCCTTATGAGACATGGTGCTTGCAAGCAGGTTCCGCTGACAACAGATATCCAAAGCAGAAGAAAGCTATAGACTCTGAACCAACAAATACCAGCACAGACTCTAGCCATTATGAGCATTTCCAAACTCTCCCTTCTTTAAGGATATAATATTGTGAAAAAATAAAACTCATAAATATTCCTTTTCTCTCTAGCATTCTACTAATCGTTCTTAGTGTAAAAACAATGGAACCTTAATTTCTCACTCTACAAATCATGGTCATAGCAAATTCATTCCTACCTGTGAGGTGATGGGAAACTCTCATTTATACCCATTTTCCTTTGTGGAAAACCATCCCTGTTTCTTTAAGCAAATCAGCTTTTAGCAAAAGAGCGGAAAGAGAATAAAATACTCCGAGCCAACCCAGCATCTGATTGAAGGAATGAAAGCTCTCTGGCTTCAGAATGAACAAGAGTAATGCCTAAAAAAGTTGACCTAACTTTGTTTTCATTAATTAAAAGAAGCTCATTGCAAAGGAAAAGCACACATGATTTATGGTTTTTTTCTGTAGAGCTACAGAACTTTAATCCATAGCTCATGAAAGGGTGCAGGAGCAGCTTGAAAATTATGCTGAGCTTAATTATACTTAATGTGAATTATTCAGAAGTGCACACAGAGACTAAAAATTTATTTCATACAAAGAAGCTTGACATTTTAATTGGCCCTTCAGAATAGAGACAAAACAATTTCCTCTCAAGAAAATCCACATCTTCCCTATCAGAGCCTCGGCCCCATCCAAGCAGAACTTCATTAACAAGATTAATTATTGCCCCAGAGGCTGCTTCATCAGGTGTATGGCCCAGGTGAAAAGAGGACCGTGAAGTCATGACTGACATTTCTAACAGACAGGATTGATTCAAGGAGAGGGGAAAAATGACAGGTTGAGCCACCATACCTTGGTCATTTGCCATTTTGTCAGGATGTTCCACTGTGGGGGGAAAAGAAATATTATGAGATTTTGACAGTTCCCAGCAAGAAAGGTGACATTTCAAATCAAGAGTTTTTGTTAGCAAGTTCTTATATCAAGGCCAATGCCCTATGGAAATAAAATTGGTAAGGAATCAAGGTTAATGTAACTCTTTCTATAAAACAATTAGAGGAAAATGTTGAAAATATTTTTGTTGTATAAATGTGTTCTTAAAAATATGTTGTTTGTCACATTTCTCTAAACATAAGCTCAGAATGATCATCATACAAGTTTAATTAATACAATAATCATAAAAATGCATGAGATTACCAAATAATTATCAATGTTTTAATTAAGTTAAGAAAATGATTTACTGATATTCATTAATTCTCACATGAATAGGGTAAAATCATAGAATTTGTATGGTTTGATAAATTTTTATATCTTGTGAAGAAAAGTTGAGTAGTTTACTGTAGTTGAGTTATGAATAATGTTGTTGAAAATGACTTTTTTCCCCTTGTTGGTTTATTTTTTAATTTTTACTGAGGTGACTGGTTAATAACATTATAAAAGTTTCAGGTATACATCATAATTACATAACTATATATACTATATATAGTATANTTTTTAATTTTTACTGAGGTGACTGGTTAATAACATTATAAAAGTTTCAGGTATACATCATAATTACATAACTATATATACTATAGTGTGCTCACCAATAAAAGTCTAGCTTCTATCCATCACCATATATTTGACCCCCTTTACCCATGTTTTGCCCTCACCCCACCTCCCTTCCCCTCTGGTAACCACCAGTCTACTGTCTGTATTTATGAGCTTGTTTTTGTTTTAAATTTAAAAACATCTCTAGCTGTGTTTTTTTTTTTTTTTTTAGGTGGCTTGTTTCCTGTTAATCAAATACAACTATATAGGAAGTAAATCTCCAGTATCATTCTTTTTCTAGAAATTGATATGACATTTTGACCAGTGTAGATTTTTGTAAGTCTGTATCAAGCATTTAACCTATCCTTGATTTTCTTTGAGCTTTGAGTCTACTTGGCATATTTAATCACTTAATTGCAGCCAAGCTTGATGCACAGGCTCCTACACTTGTTGGTTTGCTTCTTGCATATGCCTCAGTTAAAGCCACACAGAGAAAAAATATAATAGCATTCCCATGACCAGTAAGTTCTCTCATTATTGCAGTTTCATAGCAAATCTACCATCATTGTTTAAAAAATTACTTAAAGTCGATGGTAGCCATTCTGACAGGTGTGAAGTGATAACCCACAGTGGTTTTAATTTGCATCTTTCTGATGATTAGCAACGTTGAGTATTTTTTCATATGTCTCTTCCCCATCTGTATGTCTTCTTTGGAGAACTGTCTATTCAGGTCCTTTGGCCATTTTTTAACTGGATTGTTTGTCTTCCTTTTGTTAAGTTGCATGAGTTCCTTATATATTTTGGAGATTAACCCCTTATCCGATGTGTCATTGGCAAATATGTTCTCCCATACAGTGGGCTCCCTTTTCATCTTGTTGATGGTTTCTTTTGCTGTGCAGAAGCTTTTCATTTTGATGTAGTGCCATTTGTTTATTTTCTCCTTTGTTTATCTTATCCTAGGAGATGTATTGGCAAACATATTGCTAGGAGAGATGTCTGGGATTTTGCTGCCTATGGTTTCTTCTAGGATTTTTATGGTTTCCCAATTTACATTTAAGTGTCAGAATGGCTGCCATCAACAAATCAATAAATGACAAGTGCTGGCGAGGATGTGAAGAAATGGAAACCCTAGTACTCTGCTGGTGGGAATGCAGACTGGCGCAGCCACTATGGAAAACAGTATGGAATTTCCTCAAAAAATTAAATATGGAGCTGCTGTTTGATCCAGTGATCCCACTTCTAATATATCCTAAGAAATCTGAAACATCAATCAAAAAGAATATTTGTACCCCACGTTCATAGCAGCACAATTTTTAATAGCTAATATCTGGAAACAGCCCAAGCGCCCATCAGTAGATGAGTGGATAAAAAAGCTGTGGGACATTCACACCATGGAATACTATGCAGCTGTAAAAAAGAAAGATCTCTTACCCTTTGAGACAACATGGAGGGACCTGGAGAGTATTATGCTAAGTGAAATAAGCCAGTCAGGGAAAGACAAGTACCATGTGATCTCATTCCTATGTGGAATATAATGAACAAAATAAATTGATAAAATAGATCAGGAGACACAGAAGCATGGAACAGGCTGATGAATCTCTGAGGGAAGGTGGAGGTGGGTGGGTAGGTGGGTGGGAAGAGATTAACCAAAGGGCTTATATGAGCATATGCATAACCCATGGACACAGACAATAGTGTGCTGAAGGCCTGGGGTGGGGGGTGGTTGCTGGGTAGAAGAGATCAATGGGGGAAAAAAGGGGACATCTGTAATACTTTCAATAATACGTTCAACTTTTTAAAGATAAATTTAAAAAAAAGAAAAATAACTTAAAGTCTTACAGGTGTTAGTCCTTCCTTTTCTAATTTAAGGAACACAAATTATTGTCCAAAAGAATGCATAAATTGAAATACCTAACGATGTTAACAAAAGCCTCTTTAAGATGAATAGGGTTGATTAGTGTCACATCATAGAAGGACAAATTTCTAAACCAGAGATTATTTACAATTTCTTTTATGTTAAAATAATATGTAGACATATTCTATGAAAAGGGTAAACTAGGAAAGGTATCTTAATAAAAAGAAGACTTTGAATTCTGTATGACTCTTTGGGAAACAGTATACATAGGAGTGTTTACTACATTAAGATTCTACAAGCTTTATATAAATTTTATAAATGTCTTTGTATCTTCTCAAGATTAAACATTTTTTAATTCACCAGGCCATCTAATCGAATATTTTCTAATCTAATCATTACAATTTAATTTTTGTCTTGATTTTCTCTCCCATTTCTCATTGAGGTCTATAGGTTCCTGAAAATACATTTTTTTAATAGTATTAGGGGGTTGTTGATGAAAGGTGCTTTTGATAGGCAACTGAATTAACTGTACTTTATAGACAGGGATAGGACTCTAATGTAGCTTTTAAGGATGGACACTGTGTTGTAGAAAATGCCATACAGGTTTTCCAGTAAGAATGGGGAATAATATGTCAGGATCATATGTGACCACAAAATCAGGAAGGGTAAATGTCTGGTAGCCAGAACAGACACACTTGAGAAACGACCATGATCAGTATCACATATTTAGGGGAGAACTGTTTGGAATGATACCAAAAAAAGAAAAAAAACAATCTCATCTCATTTTCACTTTTTATCTCTTCCTTTATCTTTAATTATATACATGAACTATCTGTAGTCTAAGCAATTTTTTTTTTAATGCTCACCAGAGGATATTTTTTCTATTGCTTTTCAGAGACAGTGGAGGGGGGG